GCTTCTGCCGGAAGACCATCACCGAGATCTCCTACTACAACAAGAACGAGCAGGTGGTGTACCAGTTCTGCAGCCCCAGCTGCTGGACCAAATTCCAGGTACATACGGAGGCTCTGCCACCGTCACAGTGACGGGACCCATCCCAGGAGCCTGGGTTTTCTGCATGGCTGCGGTCTGGTGCACCCATCAGACTCCTGAAAAGTCTTTCTCTCTCTCTCTGTTTTCGTTTTCAGATGGGTTGGGCGGGAGGGGTGGGGAAAGCTCATAGCTCTTGTTGTTTGCTGAGAAAAAACTTTCAGTGGTGAAGGCCGTGTTTGCTAAAAGCACTTAAGGCGGAAGGCGGTGTCATGAGGGTTCTGTTGGCCAAGGCAGAAGGGTCTGCCTGCTGCTTTTTGTGGGTGTACGTTGCTTGCCAAGACCCCCTATCCGCCATCTTTATTGTCATGGGCAAGAGTCACGACACCTCTGGCCAGCGGTTTCAATTTGCCTTCTCATCTCAGTGAGAGGTGCCCACATCTTCTCGCTCCTTCCCCTGGCGTGTGGGTGGGTGTGAGCGAGCGTTTGCCGTTTTTTGTTTTGTGGGTCACCTGCTGCCTTGCCACCCAAGCTCCAGATTTTCCTGGCTGTCCAGAGGGCACACGTCCCTCCCTTCCTGCCCTTTGGCCCTCTGTGAGGTTTCCGGCCTCTGTCCTCACCGACAGTCGCTCTGTATTCCAGTATTGTGTGGCCAACCCTTCTCCCTCCGAAGGCTGAATGTCTGTGAACATGCTGAGGTTTCAGAAACCCAGCCAGTGGCCATAGAGGGAAGGTGGGCGGGCGGCCGGGCGGTCAGTTGGGTGAAAACGAGGCCTGTGCATCTCATCCATAGCTTATTGATCTATCTATCTATTTATCTATCTATCTATAATGTTGACTCTATCGTGGGGGTTGTTGTCTCAAATAAAACTGTTTCTACTTCTGCTGATGCCGAAGAGAGTTTGTGTCTACTATCCAATAAATCAGTCAAATTAACATTTGTGTGATTTGCATAATTTATTCTACTCGCAGAACGATGCTCTTGTACGGCCCTTGTCCCTGGCCAAAACGTGTTCTTCCCCCCCTCCCAGGAGCAGCTGCAGCAGCTGGATGTGCCCTGGGAGAAGACACTGGGCAGGGCACCTGCCTGCTGAGCCAAGGACTGCCCCCCCCTTAGTGCCACAGGATGCAGTCAACCCTCAGGGGTGGGGAAAAGGAGGGCCCTGCGGGAGGGGAGGGTCTCCCACCAGTGGGTTGTGGGCATGGGAAGGAGGGCGCCGAGCGCCTGCCTGGGGGTGGAGGAGGGCTCGGGGCAAAGCTGGGCGGTGGGCTGCCGGAGGACTGCTTAGAGAGACCCTGCAGCAGAAGAGGGGGGCCTGGAGGCAGGGGGGCCAGAGTGGAGGGTCAGCCAGAAAACGGCTTGGAGCGTGTGTGCCGTCATCACGGTTGCGTTGGGCAAGTCCTCCTGAGGCCGGGCAGGTTGAGGCGGACGGGCCGCGAGGGGCAGAGTCCGTCCTGTGTCCCCTTCTGAATCTCTTCCCCTTCCCTCAAAATGCAGCGCACCAGCCCAGAAGGTGGCGTCCACCTGACATGCCATTCCTGCCACAGCCTCTTCACCGAGAAGCCCGAGATCCTGGATTGGCAGGTGAGGGGGCTGGAGGAGGGGAGCGGAAGGGAGCGGAGGGGTGGAAGGAAGGAAGGAAGGAAGGGCTCGGGAAGGCCGGGTCTCCGGCAGTCTCTTGCAGGGAGAGCCACCCAGAGCCTCGTGGCCCCTGGAGAGGTCTCTCTTGTATGGCATCCTCACACCTGGGGCTCCCGTTCACGAGACGCCTGGGAAGCAGGAGGGCTCCAGGCTCCCAGAGTGCTTGCCTGCCCGCTAAGCTCGGGTCGTCTTTAAGGGGCCACAAGACAGCTGGTTGCTTTTCAGAGGGCAGGCTGGCCCCTGGCGGGCTGGGCTGACGACAGCCCCAGAAATTCCACGTGGGCCGTGCCCACAGCGGACCTGGCTGTCTTTCTGTCTGTCTGTGTGTGCCCAGATGCCACAGGGGCTGTGCCACACAGAGGGGAAGCCCCTCCACCAGGGGTTGTGTTCCTGAAGGGGGGGGTCTCCTGTGAACTTGGGGGGGCTCACCCCTCTCGGCCGCGGGCCCGGCTGTCCCTGCCTTGCCCTGACGGCTGGCGGGAGCGGCCCGCCTCTTCTTACACCCCCCTCCTTCCCCCCCCCACAGGACAAGGTCTACCAGTTCTGCTGCCGGGACTGCTGCGAGGACTTCAAGCGGCTGCGAGGGGTGGTCTCCCAGTGCGAATACTGCAAGCAGGAGAAGCTGCTCCACGAGAAGATCCGCTTCTCCGGGGTGGAGAAGAACTTCTGCAGTGAAGGTACCCCCACCCGGGTGGGGTCAGGGGGGGGTGTGGGGATCCCAGGGAGGAACCTTTGCCAAGAGGCGGGTTCTTGCGCAGAGCCCAGAAGAGCCGGGACCGGGCTGAACCGGGGAGGGGCAGATTCTGCTTTGGACCCGAGAAGCG